TCTTATATTTAAATTTTAAGAATTATTAAAACAAATTAAGGAGATTTAGTAAAGGCGAGGGCTCTTTTCAATGGAATAGTTTATGGTCAATCTGACTTGTGTTTGTGGACATACACAAACACAGTTCATGACCGTAACTGCAGTCTAAATCTTTACATAATTAAAAATCTGAGGCTACTTAACTGCATAAAAATACTCAATACAATATCTCTTTAGGGCCCAATTAAAAATGGATATGAACCATCTCTTTTGTTAATTTCTTAAACCCTAAATTTTTATCTTGTTGTAAAAATTACCAAAACCTGCCTTGCATCTAAACCCATTCGCCTTCCATTTTGACATGACATTTATTGCTTTTCTCTTTTGCACTCTACTTCTCCATTAAATTACGGTATTTCAACTTAGCACATAAGTAATTTTGGTGTTACATACGGATCTATATTTAATTTAATCACAGAATAATAAAATGGTAATTACAAAACAAAAAAGAAGGGGAAAATTTAAATGGTGTTCCTTTAAATTTCATAAGGAAGAAATATCTTTCTAAAAATTGGTGTACAATTAGAAGATAGGGAGAGACATGTGATGAAATCAATTGCCCAAGAACTACATATATTAACTGATAAGATATGAGTCTTTTAATTGTTGCAAAAAGAAAATTGGTGACTTTTAAAATTATAGAGTATACATAAAATTATAATTAATAATTGAAAATATATAAAATTGGAACACACCAATCAATATATCAACTAAAATTACTCTCTCTAGCTTAGAATAATAGATTTTTTAATTTAGAATTTGTCCTAAAATAATAGTCATTTTTTTAAGGGAGAAAATATCTTTTTCCTACTTTAACTTTATAATTTTCTCTAAAATTTAATTTTCTATCATATGATTAAAATATTTTTTATTTTTGTTTATTTTTTAAATATAAAATAGATAGAAATAAAAATTATTCACAAATCCTTAATTTGAAGATAAAATAAAAACATATATTATTCTATAATGGAGGGAGTATTAACTTTGTCTACCAACATGTGACATATTTCTTCCAATTAGATTTATTTGTCTCACAATTTAAATTGAGTGATCTGATAGAGTTGTTTCACTTTCCAATTTAATAACATATTACATGTTAATATTTCAATTTTATTATTAATTATTTCAAAATAGATGAACATGCATTAAGATTTTTTTCGTTTAATTGAAATAAAGGAAAAAATAAAAAGATAAATATTAATTACTTTAATAAATAAATTTCTCAATAATTATAAATAGTATAAAATGAAACCATTTAATCCGCCTCATGGGTGTGAGTATAAATAACCACAAGTAAATTCATAAACGGAATTCACACAAGCAATTCAAATAATATCCAGCTCCTATAGGCCCACCTCTGCCTAATTAGGACTAGCCCGTACTTATTCTGGTCGAACATCGAACCCAGCCCAATCCACGACCAATACCAAGCATACCCAACAAATATTTGCCCTCAGGCTGCAGCTTCCAATGTATGATGAAAGATGAAGAACAATATGTCAAGGAAACTATTATAATGCCAATATTCATGGCAAATAATGTTGTGTCCCCCATCCAGCTTGTTCATTTCTCTTTTCTTTTTTTGAAATGCAAAATAATATTATTTATTTTGAGAGTACAGGGTACTCCGAACCCGTTACAGCTTAATCTTGTCCATTGATGACAAGTTTTCAGCTTAGCCAGCCAAGGGCGGCTTAAAATGCATATGTCTTACCTACAGTGAGCGGTACCATTTCCTATCAGAATCAAATTCTACCTAATATCGGCAGATTCCTTTCAGTTCATATGTTCCCCATCCAGCTTGTTCATTTCTTTGTTGTGACTGTGACAAATCTACATTAATATATTACAATTTTTTTCGTTTGGATTTTGTATTCTGTTTCATGAATTTTTTGTTGCCAGAATGCATGGAAGAAAACACGGTTCATTGTTCTTACTTTCACAAATTAATTATATATGCTTGTATAAATGATCAACGTTATAAATAGCTTAAAATACAATCACTTCATACGCCTACATACAAGCTAAAGTAATTATATATATACCTATGAAGCCGAAGATGGGGAGCATAAGTTCGATAAACGTCAACCTGTTCTTGTTGCTATCTCTCACCATGACTCACTCTTCCCTTGCGTTCGTTATTGATCGTAACACCTACGTACCACGTCCACATTGTCAACAACCTCAGTCGTGACCTCCTCACCCTCTCCTGTAAGTCCAAGGACGACAACTTAGGGTTGCATGAGCTAGGCATCGGACAAAGCTTCAGCTTCAAGTTCCATGTGAATCTGTTCAAGACCACGCTTTTCTGGTGCAATTTTGACTGGGGTGAGAAGGATCACTGGAATAGCATCAAAGTCTTCTATTATGACGAGCTATTTCTCCAGTATTGTGACTACCAGAACTGCAACTGGTCTGCTAGAGACCATGGGATATACTTGCAGAATCTTCGTAGGGAAGATCAGCAGTTTGAATTGATGTATTCTTGGAAGTAGGATAGGAGGTAAACGCATCTATCTAAAAAAAAAAAAAAAAGATACTACCATCTCCATCTAAATTTAGCTATCTATTTTAACTTTTTAACTTTTTTTAATATTAATTTCAGATAAAATTTTAATATGATATATAAATAACATTTGAAATAATTTTTTTATTAAAAAATTACTCGCCAAGAAATATATATTACAGAAAATAGAAAATAAAATTTTTAATTGTCATTTATGTATTTATTAAAGTTTTATATAAAATTAATGTTTAAAAAAGTTAAAAATTCATAATAAGACAGCTAAAATTGAGTAGAGGAGTACTAAATTATGCTAAGACAGACAAAGGATGAGGAGAATGTCTATATACATGCCCAAACACAACGGTGGATATGTCTGTAGTACTGGTATAGTAAAACAAATACTATACCAAGATTAATACTATAAAGTACGTATGTATTAATCAATTTATTACTGAAACCAAATTTCTGTATTCGTGTTGGAGTAATATACCTGTATTTCGATATTCGTAAAATACTATACATTAATATTATAGTGTTCACATAAACTAATGCTGAAATATTATTATTTTAAAAATTATTGAATAAAAAATCCAAATACTCTTATTATCCAAAAATAATAATAATAATTTCAATAGAAAATCCCAATTCCTAAGAACGCAAGTCCATTCCACATATCTTGGCTGTCAACCTTCCAATTTCCCTACCGCACATGTACTCCATCGATAACCGTTGGCTTTCCATTTAACCCATTCTAAATACCAGCACACTGCACATTAATCTACATAATTGCATAATAAATTCCATCCTTTTAGTATTCAACTAAATATACATATGCATAAGATCATTTGCTGATTGATTGATCATTTTTCCAGAAAATGAGAAGCTCCAAACCTTTAAACCTTCTTCTACTTGTCCTAACAATATTAGTCATAGGCCTTCCATGCTTCATCGTCGCCACAACGAAGGAGTGGATGCCACCGGAATTAACAAAATGGCGCGTCGAAATTGTCAATGGATTGAGAAATAATGCAGCATTATTTGTCCATTGCAAGTCGAAGGAAAATGATTTGGGCATCCACAATCTGACCGCTGTTAGGAACTTCACTTGGAGTTTCAGAGAAAATTTCTTCCACAGAACGCTGTTTTGGTGCTACCTTCGCAAGGGCGATGCCCATGCCAACTTCAACGTGTTCTGGCATGATGTGTTGCTCTTTTACAAGTGTGGGTGGAAGAGTTGCGTTTGGACTGCTAAGGATGATGGGATTTACCTAAAAGATTTCATAAAAGACTCGGAGGAGCTTTGTGAAAAATGGAAGCCAGGGTCGTGAAGATAAAGAATTTCATTATATAATATGAAATTCATGTTTTTCAATTCAGATTATACATTAAAATGCAATCTGAATGCTTGAAATTATTAAATTATGTATCATTAATAAATATAAATAAGAAATAATCTTATTAAAAATAATTTAATAATTTTTGTTTCTGAACCGTATATATTTAGTATCTAATACTATATTTTCTACTTAAACCGATCGATCTGCTTATCCGTTTTTATTAATCAGAAAAAGAAGTTTTATTAAATGGGTACAAGCGTACCCAAAGGCTAATTTAGAGCTCAAGGCATATATATGCAATTTTTTTTTTATTTGATGCTTAAGGCATATGCAATTATAGAAACTCAGCACGACAAATCACATAATCGCAAACACAAAAAATTCATAATGTTGGTCCTCGCAGCAACCTGGAAGTCTGGAACACTGTGCTTTTAGTCAGTATTGAATTTAATTGCGTTGTCACTGGCAAACAATTCTGCTTAGCAATCATATCTTTATGTAGGAGTTATATAATGTAAGGTTTGAGTACCTGTGAAATTCAGTTAATAAAGCTGTCTCTTTGCTGGTAATAGAAGTTAACAATGCCATAATTCGTAAATCAGGGTTAAAGAGAAGGTAAAATTTGACTTTTAGTACCCTTGTTTGGAAGCTTGGCTTTTTTTATAAGGACTAAGGTTTCTCCTTCTGAATTTATTTCCTCTCAAGGATCTCCCTCTTTAAAAATCTTCCCTTACGGTTTTTGGTTTGCAAGCCACTTTTTCTCTTAAATTTTTCTAAATATTCCATTTTACAAAATTATTTATATGTTTTTACACATTAATACTATAACAAAAGGAGAATAAAAGTAGCATTTTAAATATTTATATTTTTTATACAATTCCGAACTCATAAAATGTTTTTCATTTATTTTGAAAGAAAAAAGTTTCTTTATATCTTTTTTTATATTGGACCCACATAACAATTTTCCTTAATAATTTTTCTTATATCAATTTTTTTTATCAAATATAATAAAGTTAAAGGCAATAATTCATGCACACCATGAATCAACACCCCGTCTCATAACACAAGCGTTTCAAATAAGAAAATAATATTTTATTTTAATATATGCTTATCCTAACTTATTCTGAATGGTTCGAAAACATGTTTTCTCGAACGTAGTAAATGCCTTTGTCTTCTTTCTCATGCTTGCTCTACTTCTTTTGCTAGTTATCTTCCTAGACTTATCCTCTTTGTCATTCCTCATGTTATGCTAGCGTAGTTAATGGAGAGGTACTACTCATATTCTCCAATTTTCTTTTTATTAAAGTTAAAATAAGAGATTAAAGTTAATTATTTAGGTTTTTTCTAGGCACAAAAGGAACTTATTCTTTATAAATGTAAGGGTTAAATTTAACAAATAGTTAGAAATCCCTTCTCTTTCCTAGATCTATCTCATCTCCAACACAAGAACAAAAATGAGAAAAATCCGTGACTTTTTTTTTTTCTTCAAATCTTAGTTGGAGGTCTAGCTTGATTTTGCCAATCTACAGAATACGAGAGGGATTCAACCAAGCATTTAGAAGAACATAGCAAGTACAAGCAGAAAGATGAAAAAAAAAAAAAAAATCATTTGAAACCCATAAAATTCAAGACTACTTTTCCTATTTTCAATTGCATAATAAATCCTTCATCTCTTTGGGTTAGTGAATCTCAAATCCCTTTACCTCAACATTCTAGCAGTGTGGATCTTTGTGGGGGAAGAAATTGAAATGGTGGTGCTAGTTTCAGTGCTGCTTCAGAGGAAGGAGGCTGTAGTGATGGGAAAACGAGGGGGTTTTCATGGGAGGGAAAGGGATTAGGTAGTCTAGTGTTTCTGGGATCCAAGAGTTTAGATCTAGGTGCTAGCTAGAGCCAAAAAAAGAAGAAGAAGAAAATTTTCATATTTGATAAAATGGAAAAAAAAAAAGAAAAAAAGAAGCTAGATCTAAATGGGATGAAATCGATGGTTACAAATGGGTGATGAGTACCCAAATTTTCTGGATTCTTTGCTCTGGAGAAGCAAGGGGAATAGATGGAGTGGTAGGAAGAGAAAGAACGAGAACGCAAGAGAAGGAAGGAAGGAGAAGGGAGGAAGAAGCGAGGAAAAGCAGTGGCCAACGGTGGTGATGGTATCACTGTCGACGCCAGTGCTGGAAGAGACATGGAAACAGTGAAGAATCAAAGAAGGGAGAAGGAATTGAGTTAATTGTGTGTTTGGAATAAAAAATAGAGTAGGGTTGGCAACAAGGATAGGTTGTTCAACACTTATTCTTAATTAGACTAAAAATATATATTTTAAAGGGGGTAACCCATCGGGTGATAACTCGATGGGTGTAAGAATTACTACTCTAAAGTTAATAATCCAATAAAATTTTATTATAAAATGTAGTAATCTTTTATACAATATTTTTTAACATTTTATACAATTCTTTCATAACCACTTTTCTAATAAATACTTTGTTAATGAGGTGTTTGTATAACCAAATAAGCCGTAAAATCTCCTGCCCTAATAGAGTGTGCTAGGCAATATCCTGTGTTAAGCCTCTACACTTCCACCATTTTAGTGTGCAAACCCTCAAACAAAATGAAGTGCATATAAGCCCTCAATTGTCCAAAAATTAAATAAGAAATCTTATTTAAGTGGTGATTAATTGAAAAAAAAAATTACACTTACTAAAATTGGACGTAAAGAGTACCAAATAAAAAAAAAAGAAGGCCTAGTAAAATAGAACCAAGGGAGTAATAAACACATGCACTCTATTAAAATAATTCCAACACATGTTAAAATGTGAAAACTCTAGGGGCCTAAGATAGGGTTTTATCAATGTGCTTGATACAGCGCACACACCAATCATGCTGAAACAAAAAAAAAAAAAAAGAAAGAAAATAAAAAATATGTTGAAGAATTTTCAAAATATTTCCAGAATTTGAGTTCGAATCATAAAAAGTTGGTTTGAAACAATTGCATAGAATACATTTGAGAAAGTGTAATAGAATACATTTGAGAAAGTGTAACTTTGGCTTGAATCATATAATTATGATTCAAATCATTTACGTAAAACCAAAATCCGAAAAGTTACAATTTTGATTTGAACCACATTTATCGTATTTGAACCATTTATGTCAAAAATAAGAGATAAAATTCTAATAAGATTTTGAAGACAGTGGATAAGTTTGGAAAGCAAGGAAATATGTGAGTTGGAGTTCAAATCAAGCCAAATGACTTTTGGAAGAATTTCCAATGAATAAATTTTATGAAAACTCAGTTATTATCCATTAATAAACTGATAATAAATTGAAAAAGAACGTCTATTTCCAACAGACATCTTGCCTTTATAAATATGAAGTTATCTCTTCATTTTCTTTGTCTCTTGAACCCAGAAACAAATCCTTAGTATTATCTAAATAAAATAGTCCCTTTTTGCACTTCGATTGCTGCAGAAATCCCTGTGCAAAAACTATTGTTTTGTCACTTTCCAAAGGACGATTTAGTGGTTGATCTTGATAGTGCAAAGACAAGATCAACAAGGCGTTTCATTGTATTTTACGGGCATTTCGAATTACTCCTTTTGCATACCAGATTTGGTGGGGGCAAAATTAGCCTAAAGGAAAGTGGCATTTGCAGCAAGCCTTGAAGCCATTTGTAGATTTTCTATCCTATTTCTCCAACAAAATAAATCATAAACAAAAATTACCAATTAAGTTGATATAAAAGGGCTAAATTTAGAAAGTGTCCCTAAAAATTATCGCATTGAAGTAAATGACTACTCAAAAAAAATGTTGATGCAAGTTGTCAACTTAAATTTTCATTTTAAAAAAAATCAATTTGAATATAACAATTGTTATAAAATTTTGTTAAACTATTACTCTTGAAATTATTAATTAAATTTGGATTAATTTCTTAAAAGTAAAAGTTTAAGATGACATATTGTACTAATATTTTTGTATAACAATTTATTTCAACACAACAGTTTTGAGGGAAAATTTACACCTTTATCCATATAAAAATATAGGAAAGTGCATTGTGCACCCCCCGGTGCAACACCTGGGGGTGCACACTCTACAAAACCAAATAATTATAAGAATAAAATTACAAATTTAACCTTAAAAGTTATCTTCCTCACAATACCCCTTTTTCTTCTTGTCTCTCCATCTTCCTCTTCTAACAAATTCATTATCTTCTTTCTTTTTCCTTCTTCCTCTTTTTTTTTTTTTTCTCTCCATCTAGAGAACCCAATCTGGGTTCTGCT